GTTGTCTTCCGAAAGACTTGGGTTTCTAATTTGCTGTTGTTTCCTCTGCTGATGAGGATATCCAGGAAGGGTAGCGTGTTGTTATAATAAAAAAGGAACAACTAGAGAAGACAAATGAAACCATCAACAACATCTTCAAAGGAATAAAATTCAACAGAGAAGAAGAAAACAACAACACGCTACCAACAAAAGACCAGAACATCTCCTCACCAGCAATCATCACCCAGATAAGCAGAAATTAACACCAAGATTATCACCAGACATACAATCAAACAGTAAACAATACCCTAATCAGGGAACTACCAGAGGGAAAAAATAAAGCAAAACCAAACCCACACCCCCACCAACACTGGCAGGGCATGCCACAGCATATAAACAGAGAGCAAACCCCATCCCATTCTAGCACTGAAGATGTTAACTAGTTGGGTAATGAAACATTTGCAAGAAAACAACCAAGCTCAGAGAACCCCAAGGACTCCACAAAAATTGCTCAGCTGACAATTGATGAGATGGAGGACAGACAGGATGAAATGGGATGGGGCTCTCTCAGTGGACTATCTGAGCTCCTTAACACACACTCAAGATAGGCAGAAGAAATTGTCAAGAAATATAATGACATTTTTCCTTACTTTAACCAAAGCTGTTATACAATATGCTGTGCTGTTGATAAAGATATAGAAATGTAGTCTTTGTAGTTTGGAGCCACCTTTGGTCTACAATATGGTATGTAGGGGCAAAACAAGGAAAGCAAAAGAAAAATAAGGATTGGAATCAAATTTTTAGCAATGCCAGGGTTGTGGGTTGACTACAAACACCCTGGAGGTTGGCAACAGCAAATAATTTCTGCATTCTCCTCCATTCACTGGAAGCTGAGCAACTTTAAGACTTTATTTCCCACTTTTGAATATTTCAAGCAAGTTCTTCCACTGGTTTAATTACTCACAGAAATAGTTTTAATTTTGGATTTTTATCAGCCCTAATCTGCAATAGCATTTTCAGTTTACAGATAAGGGAGTTTATGATGATTGGATGTTGGAACCGCCAATCAAAGCATAGCAACCCAGTGCACCTTCTCCCAGTTTATATTCTGGAGGGAGGAGGGAACTGAGGAAAGAAGGATTTCAGAAGTGTAGGTGGAAGGAAAGATCTGAAAAGCTCAGAGCCTAGCCAAGAAAAACTTTAATCTGTCAGAGAGATAGGGTTATGAATAAAGGGAAGGCAAATATTGACAGACCATAGATACATAGATAGTAAGCTGTTTATGACCTATTTTAAATTATTTAATAAATGCGTTTATTTCTTTAAATGTTAACAAAATAACTGCACTGTCCTGAACCTTCTCCACATTCCACCTTGTTATGTTAACTTAGAGACATAAATAAGAACAAAGACTTTCTGAATTAAAAAGTAGGTTGGTGGTGGCAACAAGACAAATAGATCCTTTTGAGATCTCCCAGAGTTAATGGGATTTTGTTTTAATTTTGAAGAACAGATAAATAGTGACATCCCATAACAGAGATGGTATGCAACACGATAGTAACATAGAAATTAGCTTGCTTTCAAAAGTCACTATAAAATTTCTAAAATTGTTAAGTCCAGAATTCCCTATTGACTTTGCTTGTTGGAAGCCAGCTGGGAAGGCCACAAATAGTGATTACATGACTGCAGGATGCTGTGATCGTTGTAAATGTGCAATGGTTGTGAAGCTCCTGAATTGTGATCACATGACCGCAGGGACGCTGCAACTGCACTGTAAGTGCAAGGACCAGTCGTAAGTAATTTTTTTCAGTGCCATCATAACCTCAGTCACTAAATGAATGGTTGTTAAGTGAGGACTACCTGTATAGTACAGTACAATCTCTGAACCCCTTGATGTTGTTTTCTGCTATAATCTAGTGTGGCTGGGCAAAAACTTTTAGCTCTTTTTTCAATAAGTTGAAAGTTGGGGAGACTGCACAAATCTATTACACCTTTTACTTTACATGATTAGCTTCCCCCCAGATTGAGAGTGGGCTGGCAATAGTTGTTCTTGGCAATGCAGTCCATAAAATGACATTCAAACATTTTGGACCTTGAGCCTCCAGAAATTGCATGCTCCCAACTTAACCACAGTAATAATATCCGGTATAGCTTTTTGCTAAACTTATCTGTGACAAACTAAAAATTGGAACATAATTGTCCATTGTTTCAAGGTTAGGTATATTTTTTTTTCAAATTTCATTTTAATTAGGGTTAAGAAACTTGATCTGAATTACAGGCTCAATATTAAGATTATTGCTTTTGATAAATTAACAACCACCACCATATTTGTTAGTGTTCAGTTCTCTTCCTGCTACTTTGCCTATGCTTGGATTTTGTTTCCAATGAACCTGCTTTAATACCAGAGAATCTGGTCTCCAGATTATGTCCCTTCAGTTCATAGCTGTGGCTGTGGCTGCAATTGTATTCCCTGACTCTACCATTAAGCAGTAATTAAAGAGACATGTCTGTTGCATGTAGTGTCAACCCACCCTTGATGTGTGCAACATTTGGGGGCTGAGGGCTATGCTAACTTTTCAGTGACATGTTGGGTGGAAGGTGTACTTCAAAGATTGTGTAGGGCCTGGACTGAGTTATTTAAATTTACATTTACCTGCATAGTAGATTAACTAAATTAGGCAATATTAGTATTTTCTGTGTATAGTATTAATTTCTGTGATATAATAAATCCAATTTTAGTGGTAACATTGGAAGGGCTGCTAAGGTTTTTGGGAACTGCATGTGGTATTGGGCTTTACACTGCATAACCATGGCTTACCCCAATATGTATACATTGATTAGTTGAAAACTGACTTAGGGCTTCTACCACTGAGCTTCAACAGAAACATGGATGATGCTTGCTTAGCAAGAGATCGATCTTTCAATAGAAAAAATATGCTATGCCTTATAACAGTTTTCTAATAATATAGGTAACCCTCCCATGGTCCAGATGGTCATGCTGGATAAGAGGGGCAAGGGTTAGTCCAACATAGCTGGAGGCTACCAGTTTGCCTGGGGGGGGAGGTCACAAAGCAGTTACTGCAGTGATTTATAGTCATATACAGTATTTATATCCATTTGCTAATAAAGAACAAATTATACAGTACAGCCACTAGAGGTCACAGGATGTTAGGAAAATAAATGATGACGCTCTGCATTACTGTATAGCTGGAATGGCACAACAATGAGTAAATCTTGATCTACTGACAGGTCTCTGAGTGATCTGCAGTAGATTAGCAAGTAATTCTCTTTCTTAATTATTTGACAGCAGTGACAACAAAATGATTCTGCCCCATCGCACATGGTATAACTTGTAGTACTAAAATGAAAACCAGTTCTGGTGGCCACTTTGTTTTTGTTTCAAAGGAAAGGAAATTATGTTCATTTCTGGTACTCAAAACAAATTATTTTTCTCAGATTTAATTAACTTTTTCTTTGTACCATGCTCCAAATGGAGATTCTAAAACATGCTATTAAAAACAGAGTAGATTCCAGAAAATAATAAAAAACAGAAACCCTCTTAGAAAGACTACTTAGATTATGTCTTACCTTGAATAAATTAATGATTTTAGTTATTTAGCATTGTTTAACTTCTGCTGTTCTGACAAATACAGAGATTTAAATTTGATTAGCTGACAAGTTTTCCCCACGCTTTTAGAAACCATGGATTCTTATTGCACAAGTGACTGAATATATAGTCTTAGGTAATGACAGTTTAGATTAACTGTAATGGAGTATGTTGTGATTTTTGTGTTTATGTAGCACTACTGAGACAAATAAAAAAATATTAAACAATTAACTGAAGGATTAATCTGATCATGCTGATGCTGACACATTAAAACTGAATTTTAAAAGAGAAAAATATGAAGTTATGGATATTGGTAGGGAAAAAAATCAGAACTTTTTTTTTAACATAACATAGGAATATTTGTAGAAATAATCTGAGGATTTATAGTAGACCAGAAGTTAACATGGATTTGCAGCGTGAGGCAACTGAAAAGGCTAAAGCAATCTCAGAATACATCAACAGAATTACAGTATCAGTACTCTATCTGCAATACAATCTGCAATTATACTGCTGTTTAGGAAAGATGCCAACAGATTGGCAAAGACAATGAGCGAAGACTGAAGGATTTGTGCATGTTTTCCTTATTCCCTAAATTAGTTAGGTGCTATTGAAAAGAGCCAGGATGATGGCATGGACAATTGTTCTCCATCTTGACCTTGCTGGGTTAAAATCCTCTTCCAAGGACATTCCGGTGGTCCTCTTCCCAGCCACCTTATCCATTGTTCTGCTAATGTTCTACTTCCCTGCTAAGCAAAGTTAATTTTTTTCTAGTCCATCAGTCATGTGTATCATTTGTCAATTAAAATATGTTTTATGTTGTATTTGGTCATGCTGAGAAATATGGGAGTTGTATTTCAACACATATGAAAGGCATTAGGACGGAGAAGTAAATCCTCAACCAAATTAAGGGGTTGAAATGACGATAAAGGGGATTTCAGTTAAGCAGTCTTCCTGGTAACACGAGCACTTTGATGGTGCATCAACTGCTTTCTATTTATCAAAGAAGCCTAAGAAAAGACTTTCTGGAGGATGAGAGGCAGACCATTCTAAAGCATCTCCAAGGAAGTTGCATTCCTCTACACATGTTGGTGCACTATCCCTTTAACGATTCCTCCATCTCTTTCCTCCCAGGGCCATGACAGCGCTTAAGTACTCTAACTTCATCTAGGGGCGATGACATAATTCCTATCTTCTAATTGGCTGCTTTCTCCCTCAGTCACTTTTTGCCGTCCCGCCCATCCCGTTCCCCCTCTCGCCGCCCAGAGTCCGTTAACATTTCTAGTTACTCCACAACTGTTGACGGGAGCTGGTGTCACTCATTGCTGTCCCTCGTTTTCATTGGCTATGCAGCTTGTCAATTTTGGAGTCCGGTAATTGATGGGTGGGAGCTTCCGTGGCGGTGAGGACCCGAGCCGGCAGCAACGGCGGTGCTGCTGAGAGCTGGCCAGCTGCGTCCTCGGACAACTTTTTCGCTGGGGGAGGTGTTGGCTTTGGAAGGCAAGGACGACCGCTAGGATGTATTCATGATCAGGTGAGTGAAAGGAGGCTGCGGTTTTGCACGAAGAGAACGGGCCAGCTGCTCACCCCTCCCACTCTTGGATTCTTCCATGTATGGGGCAGGGAACCGCCCCTCTGGAAAACACAAACCGGGGCTGCTCGGGGTTTGGCTGGGGTCGCCGCGGTCCTTCCGTTTCTCGCGACGTGAGGACCGTGGTGAGCCGCGCCCTTCATCCTGGGAACCTCCCGAATGAACAGCCACTGCCGGCGGCCACTCCGATTTTTCTTCCAGTGAGTCAGACCTGCGATCCCTCCCTCGACGGCGGCCTTCTTCACCAGTTCTTCTTCGGGATGCCCTTCGCCCTCTTCCACCTTCTCCAGTACCTCATAACCAAAGAGTAGATTCCTCTCTTCTCTCATGGATCTCTGTCGGTGAACCGCTGGTCCATTCCTCCTTTTCTTAGTCAGCTATAAGGTTTCTGCTTTCTGCTGTAACGTCTCCTGCAATCGTGTCACTCCATGCTTTTGCGTTTTCTGAACGCGTTTCTTTTCCCCATGATTGTGCCGTTGGAGGGAACGGTTTTTGTTAGCAAGTGTTAAATTCGCTTGCTCGGAAAAAAAATTCTTAACAAACTTTGGCTGCGGTGAAGATTTCCTCAGTCGTCTGTTTTAACGCCCCCCCTCCCCCCAGTTATATAGGCATGGAAATATTCTGAATCTACTGGGAGTTCCATATTTGCGTGCAAAAATCCCTAGCACCAATGGATTGCAGCGAAGAGATACAGAAAAAGATTTTTGCAGGCCGGATATAGTATACTTACCCTGCAACACCACATGCAGGATTCAGTTTCAAAAATGTATTGGGAAAAAATACTGTTTTCGGAATGTTGGAATAGGCAAAAAGTACCTATGATTGGTTTACTGGGCTGCGGGCCAGTAGGCATTGTTTGCCTAATACTTTTCCCATTGTAGCTGCATACCTTGATAACCATAAGAATTTGTTCATACTATAAATCTCTGGACTTTTTGGATAATCCATAATAAAATTATGTTCTGTCTTAGAGAATGAAGACATGACTGTTTTCTTAGGTTTCCCATTTTGAATCCATTTCAGTATCATTGTTTCTTAGAAGAGTAGCTATCTGTTTCCTTAAAAACAGGTTTATCATAGTATATACTTTAATGAAAGTGACTCTTAAGCCATTATAGATTTCTTCTTCGCCTTTATCCCTTTGCAATATCACACATGCTTTTTCTTAAAAGCACATATTTCTATCTGCTTTTGCTAATGGAATGATTTCTCAGAACATTCCTATATTTAAAAAAGTGTATGACTAAGGTTCCATCTAGCAAAAAGCTTAACTGTAGTCATCCATTTGTTTTTATGAGAGCTATCCTAAAGTGCAGCTCATTTGCTTCAATGAGCACGGCATGAGAAAATGGCACATTAATAATTATTGTTTTGGATTGGGTACTAATTAAAATGTTAAAAGATCTTGGTATCGGCGTGTTGAGAATGCAAGGTCAGGTAAGCTGAAGGAATCTAGATTGCCATTCCCTGTTCCATCTTAAGAATTTATTTTTCTTCATCTAGACAGGGTTCTTCCACCATTCTTGCTCATGTGTCCTAAACAAATGAACAAGTTACAACAGTGATGAAAAAGTAACTCATGGTTTGAGAAACATGGAGGCTTATGAAGTATTGTAATTAAGAGGCATTGCTTTATGTAGAAAGCAAGCTGCAGTTGAAGTGTAGTTGATTTAAAATTATTGAAGCAAGAATAAGATCTTTAGGGAATTTTAGATTAAAAATCTACTAATGAGGGAAATTTTGGAATAGTTATTTGAATGGTGGTATGTACTAAGAGTTCTCTATTGTGCTGAAAATATTATGCAGTATTCTTTAATTTGAAGTATATTAGTTGCTTTTGGATGTTTTGCAAAGCCAAAGATTATTAAGCTGGTGTGTTTCAAATTAATAGCCACAGTCCAGTCAATATTACCAGTTTTCTGTCTGATAATGTGACAGTTTGTGATTAAATAAAATAGAACAAGAACTTTTGGACTCCTTTGAGTGATACAGGAAAGGAATGTCTGAGTGCATGAACCCAACATTATTTATATCACACTAAACCAGTGGCGTAGTATGATGTCTGTAGCCATTCTTTTCAGCTGAAGGCTGTCAGAGAATTACAAACTAATTTAAAAACATCTGAAAGTGAAACTCATCTCTTTGCACACTTACCATTCTCAGCAAGATGTTCCACTTTATGAAGATGATAGCATCTCATTTGAAGTGCACTCTTCAAAGATGCATGACTCAATTAATTAGTTTTAAGTCTCATTATTTCAAAATGTTTGTTACCTCTCTAGCTCCTCTAAAATTTGACCACTACAGAATTGACTAATAACTCATTTATAGAGTTAGTTTGATTGAACCAATAAAATTAAAGTGAAAATATTTCATATATTTTGTAGAACTACAACATATTTTTCAATAGAATTAAGTAGATATTAATTTTTGAAGATGTGCTGAAATTGCTTAGAGCAATCATTAATACTAATTCATATTATATCTTACATTTTTATACCATCAGTTATTGATTTTTATTTCTGTTTTGGTTGGATTATGTGTTTTGGCTGTTTAACTATCAAGGAAGCAGAAGGGCAAAGTACAGAATCTTGGAAACTGCAAGAGGAACTTCCAGCTTCATTTAGTGAATTAATTGAAGCAGGGTTTCCTTGAGCAGTTTGTCATTCTTCTACCTAGGCTTTTTGCAGCCATGAATGAGCTGCTTTTTCTGAGATAGGTTAGTAATGACATATCTATTTGTTGGTTGTTTATGTCTTACATCTTAGGAGCTGGACGATATATAAATATTTGCCCATAAATAAATAAGGACAATCTTAATGTTGCCACTTTCTTTTGAAGATCAGAGCAGGATATATATAGTTAAATATATTTGCTAATTTTTCCCCTGCTATATTTATAGTGTGACTTCTGTGATAGTTTTCTAAGATTGTGTAGAGGGACAGTTTTAATTTTTCTGCCTCTGAAAATTATATTTCATTTTGGAGCTCTAATTATAAATCATAATTGAGTCAGTAGTTAATTTTTGGAGAGCAGGTACTGAACCAATTAGCTTTTATAGGAGAGTTTCAATTCACTTCCATATTTTCAGATATTGGAATAGAAATGGTAACAACTGCTACTCCGTTCAATAACTCTTGCAAGCATTTGTTAGAATTGCTTTTGTTTAGGAGTGGGACTCATTTTTTTTTCCTAGCCAGTGAAGGGAAATGTCTTTCTTTCTGGTTGATTTTATTTAGAAACCAGGTAAAACATTTCATCTGTCAGCTTTTTATTAAACCCCCCCTTTTAAACCGTGATTTAAGTAGAAGAAGTAGATAGAAGTAAAACAAATATAACCAAAATAGGATTGAAGGTTACTTAAGGTATGCATCCTGTTGGGTTGTTGGGCTTTGAAAAGTGCTTCTGACTATTTCCTCCCTGATGAGAATATGACAGCATTTAAAAATTGCTTTGATACACTGAGGATGTTGGTTACAGCTAAGATTAAAAATGAGAATGTGTTATAATAAGACACAAGTAACCAGCATTCATATCACATCACATCTTAGAACACATGTAAAAAAATTGTGCTTTGTAAAACAAATTAGGATGACTTCAGGGAGTTGTTCCCTAAAGATATATGCTGTACATAAACTTCTTTGCAACACTGTTTTCTTGATTTTCATCAGCTATAATGCAGAAAACAGTAGAACCTTCCCTCTGGTAGACAATCTAAAATGAATACATGTTTCTCAAGTAACATCAAAGCTTTCTTGTCAACTGTTGTGTCAAGGTTTAGATTTTTAAAATATGTCATAAGGAAGACAGGTTACAGAGGTCTTTGTTTTATGAGTGAGGAGAAGAAGAATAAAATCCAAGTTGCTGTATTGAGATCAGATACTTTTTTAGTGCCAGCTGGAGAATTTCCATGTTGCTCAGCTACTCTGAAGCTCTGACTCACAAGTAGGAAAGCAGATAACCCATTGTAATTGCTGGAATAGCAACAGTTTGGCCTGGACATGTAAACAGTGATATATAAACATTTCCACTGAATTGAGAAATTTATTAGTAAGACAAGACTTCTACATCTTTTCAAGATGATGTTATGTTCTAAGAGAAAAAAACCTCCCTTCTCCTCTTATTGGTAGTCATCCTGTATAGATGGGAGAAAAGAATATCTCTGTTCTGTTGTCAACTCTGTTAGTCAAATAATGAGCAATTTATGCACATTTTAATATTTGGTGATGGAATCCATATAATGAAAAATGGTAAGCTTGCATGGATAGGGGAATAAAAAGTGTATTGTGGACTTTTAGTAGAATTTCTGAGATATTTGCTGTAGATCAGCATAAATTTATAATTCTTGATAAAAGTAGCAAATAAAAAATAGGCTAAAGTATTTGTCTTGGCTGTCCTTAATTGTTTACATTGTCTTTAAGAACATCAGAAGAGCCCTGCTGGACCAAGCCATAGGCCCATCCTGCTTACCCTTTTTTCAACTATTGCAAGCTCTATAATATTCGTCTTAAAGTGCAATGACTAGAAGTGTTATAAAGCTCTAATTGGGGTCTTACCATAGATTTATATAATAACATTATTTGGGAGGTAATTCTAATTTCAATTCCCCTCCTAATGATCCTATCAATGAAGTTTGCCTTTTTTACAGCAACAGCACACTGGGTTGACATTTTATTGAAGAGTCCACTATAATTCCATGAACAAGTTTGGATTTTTTCATGCCAGCATGCATTACTTTGTGCTGATTTATATTGAAACGCATCTGCATTTTGAGTCCATTCTCCCAATTTGGAGAGAACCTTTTGGAACCCTTTCGAACACTTCACAATCCCTTTTTGATTTTATCATTCTGAATAGTTTGGTGTTGTTGGCAAATATGGCCATCTGATTGCTCAGCCCCAATTCCAGGTTATTTAAATAAAGGCTTTTAAAAAACCCAATAC